AGGAAACAGCAGCACAAGTTGCAAAATCCCTTCACAGGAAATAAAGGGAACACTCCGCTCCCTCCGGCAGCCGCTACCATTTCCCCACCAGGATCCCAGCCAGCTGTCAGGGACAGTTTGGCATGAGAAAGGAGCCGGGCTAAGAATAGCAACAGTTCCTTTGGTGCCAGGAGCTGTGCTGGAACACTGGCATCTTGTTTAATTCTTCACCGTAGCCTATGAGCCCCAAACCAGTCGATTCTGACACAGCAACTTCAGGAGAGGGACGCCCCACATGGTTTCCCAGGCTGGGATTTTCTTCTCCCTCCAACTGGCTGGTGGGCTCAAACCACCGGCCTTTTGTTTAGCAGTCAAACGCCTAACTGAGCCGAGGGCACCCGCAGAGGCAGCCCTTAGTACAAGGAATTCCCAATACCTGGCTGACAGGTTTAGCACCGTGACCAAGGCGGACAGGACATCGCGGAGCAGGGCTCTTGTATCCAGGTGCCTACCTCGTGTGAGCACATCCTCCCTCAGCAGACAGACCATCAGGGAAACTCACTGAACTTGCTTTATGGCTAGATGGTTATTTTGCAGAAGATTCAACTGGGTTGTGGGCTTTTGTAATGACACATAGGTGATTCCCATTTGGTGGTGCCCCCCTTTCCAATGTTTTACCTCATATCCTTAAGGTACTCTTCATCCTCTGCTGGCAGAGGGGCAGCAAACACCCCCCAATGAGTTGTTACCAAACGCATGGCTTCACTCCTTTGTTAAGGTCGCTGTGGGCCCGAGCTGACTCGCTGGCACCTCGCGAGCCTTTGTTCAGCCTCTCTAGCCAGGTGGTCCTCTCTCCCCATGCAATTGAAGACTCATCAGTGTGGAAGTGCTCTCAAGTGGCAATCACATCCTTCCATTGTTAAGTGAAGAACCAGCTGAAGGAGGTGGGAGCCACAGCTAAATTCTAGATCTCCCAAGCGTGGGGAGAGGAGTCCTGGTTCAGACTGGAGGCTGGCAAATCCAGATTCACTGCCAGACACCAGGGAAGGAAGCCTAGGTGCTCATCACAACTCGGGCAAACGTTCCCATCTCCTTGGTTCTTGGCGTGAGCGATGAGAAGGTTCTCTAGTTGCACCCCTGCTGGGCTGAGCCACATGATCCAGTTGGAAACCACCAGTAGCTCCACAGGTGAGACTGGGCTTTCTCAGAAACCCAAGGGGCGCTGCTAAGTCAGCACTCTGATGGCAACGGTCAAGTCACTCATTTGAATGTAAGCATTTTTCAGTGGTTAAGAGCCAGAACTCAGAACTCTTAGCTATGGTCTTAAGCCAAGGTCTACTGCTGCCGTTTCTTACTTGCATCATGGGGTAATCACTTCCGTCAGGCTAATTAGTGTTCAACGGGGTCTGGCACACTATCAAATACTGCATCAAAGTAGCCCACTTCCTCTGCCAGGGCAGCGGATTTCCCAAAACAAAGCATCAATCTGACTAGAACAGCTAAAACATTGTCAGTTGCATGCATCTGATGTTAAAGCCCTGATGCATGCTAGACCTGGTTTGCAACATCTTCTCTATTTTTGGTTTACTCGGGGTGTCATTAGAGGTCACCTTCCTTGTTTTTTTCAGTATAGGAAACCCAGGATTGAACCTGTAAGGACAAGTAGAATAGGGGCTGGGGGGGAGGGGAGTGGCAAAGCGGAGACCTAACAAGGAACCCAGGAATTAAATGTTTTCAGACTGTGGTAGCATCTGTACAATTCTGCTTGATGTGATTGAACGATGGAATGTATAAACTCAATAAACTACTAAGGAAACATCTGAGCACAAAATGCCACCTGAGGCTTTACAACCACCAATAGCGGAGCAGTCCCTGGCTGTGCGCTCAGAACCATCTGGAGCCTCAGTCCCAGAGCAGGTGTGAGCTTCCCGAAAGCAACAACTCCCGTCTTGCTTGCAGATGAAAATAGGACACGGGGTGTCTTTGCGGAGTGAATGAGTGATGTTCTTTATGTACCGTTGTGGAACACTGCAAGATCTGACAAGGGGAAAAAAGGCACAGGGGCAGTTTTGCACAGGTGGTGTGGGGGGAGCACACCACCCACACACGTTTCTATCTGGAGCCTGTCTGGAAGGCTCCTCCTCTGCTCAGGCTCTCTATGAAGCGGTCCGTTTTCAAGTCTCCAAGGCCTTGTCAATTTTGATGAGTCAACCCTGTGCCACCAGCAGTGTGGAGAAAGAAGCCAGCCCAGCCCGAACCCTCCTCTCTGCTCACACTGCAGCAGTCCACGGCCCTTCTGGGGCAGTGGTTAGGTAGGCACGGGACTGCGGAGCCCACAGGACGAGGCTCTCAGTGCCATGCAGGGAGTCTGGGTCTTGGTTGAAGCAGGACACTAGAGCAGTGGTTCTCAACCTTCTTCATGCCGCCACCCTTTATTACAGCTCCTCATGCTGTAGTGACCCCCAACCATAAGATGATTTTCATGGCACTTCCTAACTGTAATTTTCCTACTGTTATGATTGTAATGTATGGTAAACAGCAATGTGTTTTCCGATGGTCTTAGGAGACCCCTGTGAAAGGGTCGTTTGACCCACAAAGGGGTCTTGACCCCACAGGTTGAGAACTGCTGCTCTATAGGCGACAGCACTGCACCTACGAGCTGAAGCCAGCCTTGGAGAAAGGAATCAAACATTCCTTTAGGGCAGCCCAGCTGTGAAAGGAAATGAGTTGAGAGCATGTCCTCGAAGGTAATTTATTGACAGAAAATAATTTGAGGAGTCCTTTCACAGCCGGCGACCACGGCGACCCCCCTTCCTGCGAGTGCTGTCGGAGGGGATGGGGGTGACATCCTCTGTGGGGAGAAGAGGAAAGAAGCATCAGCACCTGAAGCTGGATGGGGAGGGCCCCCTAGGCCAGTATCCTAACTGACCTGCAATGAACAGCTCCCTGCCCCCCACGCCCCAAATGAACCCCAACACAGAACTAGGTGGAGTTTCCAGCCCACCTCCATTGCTGAGGTAATCTGACCTCACTGCCCAGAGGGGAAACTCAAGCTCAGTGAGAGCAAGCGAAGTGCCAAAGGCAGAGGTGGCTCCCACCAGCTGGCCCATGGAATTTTGGGAGGGAACCACTCAGACAGACAAGTAAAGGCCTCCGCCTCTCCAGTAGGTAAAAGGTTGGAAGTCTCAGGGCAGGAGAGGGTGTGAGTTTGGGTTGAGGAGCCAGTACCAGTTGCTACAACTGCAGAGACAAAGCAAGGAGGGGTCCAAGGAGCCAAGAGGCACCGCATGAGGCCCACTGGGCTATGGCAGTGAGGCACTGGCTGTGGTCTCTGGTGAGCAGGGACCCAACCCACCTAACTCACCACCAGCCCCCTGGCTCTGCAAGCCTGAAAGAGAGAAACCATGCCCAGCTGCTCCACCAGATGCCCCACACCGCTGTGCAAGGCACCGTGGGGCAGTCAGGTGACCAGTGGAGACAGAAGGCATGGCATCCCAGCAGGGTGCTAAAGGGGCACTCAGGGAGAGGTGTTAAAGTCAGCATAAGAACCAATCGCCAAGGCACCAGATCAGGCCAAGGCTGGGAGAAACATGCTTCTAAGTGAAACAAAAAGTACTGGCCGGAGGGAGGGGAGGCACTCACCAATCCGCCCGATCTTCATCCCTGAGCGGGCAAGGGCTCGGAGCGCAGATTGGGCCCCAGGGCCAGGGGTCTTGGTCCTAGGAGACAAAAAAAGAAAAGCCTTTGGCCACCTGGTGGTTGAGTCAGCAGCACGTCTGCATTCTCAGGTAGCCAAATCCTCTAGTTCAGGGGTAAAAAAATAACCATTTCTGGCTTATTGGGTCAGGTCACTTAAAATTCAAACTTCCCAACAAATTGATGCCCACTCATAGCAACTCTCTAGGACAGGTAGAACTCACGTCCCCCGGGGTTCCCGAGACTAACTCTTTACCAGAGAATACAGCCCCAACTTTCCCTGTGGAGCCACTCATGTACTGTCACCTTGTGCACAGCCACACCACCAGGGCTCCTTAAGGATTGGGGGGAAAGGCACTCAGGCGCACATACTGCTTTTAGACAGTACTCTAAAATCCTCAATAAACATTAAAAAAACAAAAAAACAAACACCTCACAGGGTCAACAACAATCAATCGAGCTTCTCCACACCAGCAGTGAAAATCTGGAAGGGAAACTGGGGAAATACGTTAAGTCCATTTTCAATCACACCAAACAAAGTACTTAGCAATGAATCTAATCAGCGATATCAAGGATTTATGAAAGGCGTTCAAAAGTTTGACGGGGAAACACCCACTACCTCCTAATTCTATTTTTCCACAAGCACTCTGAAATCAACTTCTTCAATGAAAATGCTAAGACACTGCTGAAAGGGATTAAAGACTCAAAGGAATGGACAAGATGATCCAGTTCATGGGCTGCAATCCCAACCTTATCAATGTAGAAAAACCAATCCTCAACGCACGATGGGAAAGCCCTCAATCGCTAAACAACGGTGCAGAGAACAAAGCAGGGGCTGAGAGTGCACGCAGAATCTTTCCACTGTTGGTGGAATCCAATCCCAGCCAGCCTGGTGCAAACAAGCGTGGCAGTTAGATGGAAGATTTGTGAGCATCAAGGTGGGTATGCCAATGTCCACTGCAGCCCTATTCACCACTCTCAAGCAGACAGCAATCTACACGCCTGTCAGCAGACACAATGGATACACAAAAGGTGCCGATTATTCAGGAGAGGGGGATGGAGCCTGAGGAAGGGGTGCCAGGTGTGGGCTGATCCAGAATGTGACTATTTGCATTAATAATTCTTTTTGCTACAGTACCAGAAAAATTGGACAGTGCCCATTATTGAAAGTTTTAATGGTGCCCTCTTCGGCAGCACATATACTAAAAATTGGAACGAGAAACCTGATTATAAAAGAGGGTAACGTAGTCCACAATTTCACTTTCAAAGAGGCCCTTCACCTTCCTAGAGCCATCAAGGGTAAATGAATCCCCAAGACTACTGCTCCAAAACAATGAAAAATACCTAAAAACATCTCCTGGTGTTTCTTAAAATGGAATAGTTTACCTTAACCAAGTAAACGAGACAGAAATCTTAGGGGAGTGTGAATGGATGAGCAGCTCAATAGAGGGTCAGAATGCTCACACCACTTGAAAACACTAAGTGTGCCCTCTCCCAGCATCTGTGTAAGGCACCATGGGTCCCTGCCTGCTCCTTTCCATGATTCGGATTCCAGGTCCTCTGTGGTGCAAACTATTTTCATCTCCTCCATCCACCCGTCCTTTTGTTTCTCAACCAGCAGTTCTCATTCAAAAAAACAATCTCATCACTACTAAAAAATCTTCACGGCTTCCACCTCTTTAAAAAAGAGAACTTTTATTAAGTCTAAAAGGGTACAAGGACAAGACAAACGACCTTATCAATCAGACAAGGGAGACCATTAGAATGAAGCCATAATGGTTTCCAGGTTTGCAGAGATAAAAGCTTTAAAAGACACACAGAAGATCAAAGACAGTTGTCACAAATGTACAGGTGGTGGTGGACCATCACTCTCACCCTTCTTTGGGCTTAAATCCAAACCAGACCACAGCCTATGAAGATCCTAAGGGACTTCCCCCCACCCCCCTAATCACCTCGTACCATTGCCCACTCTTCTCACACGGGCAGGTTCAACCCTACCTTAGCACCTGCACCCCGAAGCTGTCTCTAGCTGGGATCCACTCCCTCCTGTCCTTCCTGTACTGACTCCTGCCCCCACCCCCATCAAGATCATCCTGGACAACTGCAGACCACAGTTCCTGACCAACACCGTACTTTTGCTTCCCAGTATTCCACGATTAGAAAGCACATACTCCTTGCTCTAGAGCCCTGGGGGTGCTGTCAGGTGTTGGCTTTTACCCCTTTAGTTGTTTAGTCTGCCTCCACCACCTGTCAGGCACCAGAAGGGAGAGGCCCGACTCTTCCAATACTTTTGTGTGCAGGGCCAGGCAGACAGGGAGCATTGAACCGCCCTCTCCCCACTGCCTGCCCCGTACCGGTTTCCTCCAGTGGCTCGGAGTTTGATGTGTAGGGCCGTGATGCCCAGCTCCTTGCACCTCTGGGCCACATCCTGGGCAGCCAACATGGCAGCATAGGGCGAAGATTCATCTCGATCAGCCTTCACCTTCATCCCACCAGTCACTCGACAGATGGTTTCCCTAGAGACAAAGGCAGTCATTTCTTCCCCACTCAACCAAGACTCACCAACAGCTTGCGGGTAGGGGTGTATCAGCACAGGCACCCCTGGCAAACACCAAAGGCCTCCCCCGCATCCCTGTATAGCACTGGGGGCCCACATGAGTACCACCTATGCAGCTGTGGAGATGCAAGGCTGCATCACACTTAAGTCCCATCTCCACTTAGCCTTCTATTAAGTACTTTCTACTATGGTGGCATGGAATCCTTGTGGATTAGGTGACCAAGACCCCAGGGGTACTGCCCTGCTCACCAACAAGCACTTTCACCTTCACCACGCACATACACCAGTAACCGCAGCAGGGAGAGAAACGTCCCCTCCTCGGAACACCCTAAGCTGGCCCTCAGGCCCCCGGCCAGGTACTTACTTGCCAGAGAGGTCAGTGACATGGACAAAAGTGTCATTGAAGGAGGCAAAAATGTGGCAGACACCGAAGACATTCTCTCCTTCAGCCACCTGAGGGCCGAGGCTGATGACCTGCTCTTCCTTCTTTTCCTTCCCCTTGCGAGGTGCCATGCCTGTGCGCAAGGAAGAACACCACCGTCAGCAACAGGCACCCAGAGTCTGCTCCCCACTGTGAAGGACACCCCACGCTCTGCCCATTAAGGACGGCGCCTTCTTCAATTGGTGGCGAAAAGGGCCCAAAACTTTCCTTTGTACTTCCTGCAGCTCCTACCAAAAGCTCAGAGAACATACAGGACAGACGCTTGGGTCTCCAGCAAACCTCCAGTTTTTCTTCGATAGGACAGCACATAGGCGGCTGTCTGTTGCCTTGAGTCCAACCAACAGCTCTGTATGGCCCGACAGGTATCTGGGACTTTATGAGTGAGTGAATGAGCAGCTCAATAAGAGGGCCAACCCTGCACACCCCGGCTTCACAATCCCAGCAGCTGAGAGCTGAAAGCAGACTTATCTGCCTCAACATGCTGTCTGTCCTCTCTAGGAACCACCGCTGCTCTCATTTTAGATCAGTGGTTCTCAACCTCCCTAATGCTGCGACCCTTTAATCCAGTTCTTCATGATGTGGTGACACCCCCAAAGCATAAAATTATTTCCGCTGCTACTTGCTAACTGTAATTTTGCTACTGTTATGAATCTGGCGACCCACAGGTTGAGAACCACTGTCTTATAGAGAGAAAACAAAGAGAAGTTTCTGATTCACTCAGGACCAGAACCAAGTTGAGACCCACCCTGCAACACTCCTGGGTTTTCCAGGTACTACTTACTGGAAGACCAGCCCACCAAATGCAAACAGAAGGCCAAGGCCAATATGCCCCCACCTGTCAATGCGCGCACCACCGTTCCCAAGAGCCTCCTGCATGTGCAGTTCTGCACCACCCATCAGCCACCTCCAGCTTATTTCCCATGATCCTAGTTTTAAGGTTATTGCTGGTCGCCCTCCAGGGAGACATCGCAAAGAATCCTTCCACAACAATTTCCTAACACTTTCCAAAAGACAGGAGAATAATGATTGGGCTCAAATAAAACCAGCCTGTTCAAGCCCCTGCAGACCGAGAAAATGATGGGGGAGCCTAGTTTAAGGCCATAAAATAGTGGCAGACCCCAAGTGCCCCCACTCTTAGGCCTGTGAGCCACACATCAACACCAACTACTGGGGACCCGGAGAAACCCACGCTTCCTGCGTGCCCGGGTCTCGCTAGCCTCTTTAGTAAGAGTTAGTGTCTGATACACAAAGCAGTCAAAGTAGCGAGGAGCCTTAGCAGGTGTCCTAAGTGAATGGTCCCTAGCTAATTGCATCCAGGGGAGGCATAAGCACTGTGGACAGATGCCGTGAGGGTTAATACCAGTTTTGTGGCTTCCCCATCCTAAGGTCACCTCTGAAGGGGGTCTGAGGAAAGGTCCCTTGCGGACATGCAAAGGCGTGGTGGGCCCCCAGGAAAAGCTGGTTTGCTTTTCCGACCCTCATTTCTGGCTTTGAGAGAGAGGGCTGTTGAACTTGCAACGTGGTCGACCCGACAACGGCTAGCTTGAGAAGTCCCCGCCGCAGGCCGGGCGGAGGGGTCGCCTGCACTGTCTCGCCAGTGCTTTCTACAGCCGCCAGGGGCTAGGGCTGCTCTCTTCCAGAGTAGTGAGCGAACCGGGGAAAGTCCTGGCGGAAGCCGCCCCTGGAGAACCGGTGGGGGTCCCGAACCGACTGGGGTCCTCTCTCCGCCCCACCACGCAGGGCGGCCGCACTCACTCCAATTTCACAAGCGGCAGCCCTGACGCGAGGCCGCCTCCCTTCCTCCCCAGGCAGGGCGCGAACTTGAATCTGAGTAGGCCGCGAATCGAAACCCGAGTCTGGAAACGCCGGCCACACACATCCCCACCAGCACCCGGGTCCGTCCCACGGGAGGCTCCCCGATCCCACGTCCCCAGCCCTGCGGGACACCCATACTGTAGGATGCCGCCCGATTGTCCCCAGCAAAGCTTCATACCTGCTCGTCTTCTCTAGACTCCGCCACCGGAAAGAGAGGTTGGGATTAGGCGGGGCAACAGATCACTTCCGCGCCCCCGGAAGTGTTACGTCTGAGGTTACCGGACTCCCGGAAGACTCTGTCTTTAGCGTTTCCAAAGGGATTAAGATGCGCGCTCCAGGAAAGACAGTTGGCATGTGGGTCAGGGGAGAGAAGTCGGGCTAAGAGGCGTCTTCTCACTGAGAGCAGATGAACCTTTGCGACTGCACGAAAGGGTTATCCTGTTGGTTGAGGGGGGGGCTACGTTTCCAGGTGGCGGAAGCCACAGCTAGATGAACTTCCGTTTTCCCGACCCCGCGCCTGGGCGCTTGGAAGCTGCACTGCCCCTTGTGGCACGGAGGACGGACAACAAAACGGCCGCAATCCCGTCATCTGGTTTACGGGATACGTGAAAAGAAAAGTAAATGATTCAGGACTTACTTTATACCACGGAACCCTCGTGGCGCATGGGGAAACCCCCTAGCGAGTGGATCGGACGGAGAAGGATGAGGCCGTCGGCTTCGTGAACGTCTAGCTTTGAAACCCCAAGGGGCTGTTCTGTCCCTGTGCGCCCGGATGCACTCCACGGCCACGGGTGTGATTTAGTTTAATTTTTATTAGCAATCAGCCTGGGCTAAGCGTTTTGCATGTATTCGTTCATTTAATCCTTCTAAAGACATCTGGATGACAATGACCTGGCCACACAGCTGGACAAGACCCATATTTGTGCCAAAGAAAGGTGACCCAGCAGAAGGCAGCTATTTCCCAACAGTATCATTAATAACACAGGAAAGGTAAATGTGGGTGAAGAGCTGGTGCACACGCTGGAGCAGTACACAGGGAACTGCCAGAAACTGAAGCTGGACTCAGAAGAGACAGATGTGGAACGTGTGGTGCCAGTGCTGATGTCGGGCGGATCCTGGCTGAAGGAGAAATGAGAATTCCAGTGCACCCAGAACTGGACACGGACCAAGAAGCAATGGCCCCAACACAACAAGGGAGTACTGCTTGGTTTCAAGTCAGGAGAGGTTAGCCATACTTCACTCTGTGCTGAGTAAATTCCTTAGAAGCTGGACTCTCTGAAGAAAAACATGGCATCAAGGGTGGAGGAAGGCATGCAGATAGCTCAGCCCTTCCTACTGAAAGCAGAGAGGTCTTGAAGCACTTTAGTGATGACTATCAAAGGAGCTACAGCAAGGAGATGTTTTAAATTGATCAGAAATGAAAACTGACCATGCGGATTACACCCTCATGTGAAGAGAATAAAAATCCTCACAACTAGACCCATAAACATAATAAATAGAGACACAACTTCAGTCGTCAAGGATTGGCTCCAACAACTGCCTGTGGAAGCAGTTGTCAGGAAATCAAAGGCTGGGTCGCACTGGGCACATCTCATGCACAAGATGTCTTTAAAGTGTTAGAAGCAGACATGTCACTTGGAAGACCCAAGTGCACCTGGCCCTGGCCATGGCAGGTTTAGTCGCCTCGTCCGCACTGGAGAGCGGGACAAGGACTACCGAGACCACAGAGGAGTCGACGCCTCGGAGTGACGATGTCAACAAGGAATATTCACCAGACTGCCAGAAGGACAAACCAAGGTGTGCTGGAAGAAACTCTCCACGTGCTTCTTGGAAGGGAGGACGCCGAGACTGGGCTTCCTGTCCATGGGACGGTGTCGGGAGGGAGGACGCTGAGACTGGGCTTCCCGTCCGTGGGATGGTGTCGGGAGGGAGGACGCCGAGACTGGGCTTCCTGCCCGTGGGAGGGTGTCGGGAGGGAGGACGCCGAGACTGGGCTTCCTGTCCGTGGGACGGTGTCAGGAGGGAGGACGCCGAGACTGGGCTTCCTGTCCGTGGGATGGTGTCGGGAGGGACTCGACTCTGCAGAAGGACATGGTGCTCGGTCAAGCAGAGGGCCATGGAAGAGAGGTGACCCTCAACACGATGGACTGACACCGTGGCTGCAGCGATGGGCTCCAGCCTCGCAATCGTGAGGCTGGCACAGGCCTGAGCAGCGTTTCATGCTGTTGGGAGCTGGAACCTGGCAACAGTGGATGCCTCCGTAGACGAGTCCAAAGGGGCTTCCAGAAGTTTGTGGAAACCTTGTGGTAACTGGGGTGGGGGTGGGGGGTAGCGACCCTATGCACAATAGAAGGAATCCCTGCCTGGTCCTGCTCCATCCTCACCACCCGGTCTACCAGAGGGTAGAGAGGTGTTCACTTGGGTGCAGGGGAAGAGAGTATTCTGCAAGAGAGCGAAGAGAATTCGGGGTGGTGCAGGGCAAGCTATTGGGAGGTTAAGTGGTTGAATCTGTTGAACACAAAACTGGTTATCTGCATGGTAACCCCCGCCTCATTCACAATGAAGAGTAAGAGACAAAGTTTGGCAGTAGACTCCGTTATCCTTTCATACCATTCTCCACAGAGTTTTGCAGCCCCCTCGTGTTAGCAAAAACTGAAATGTGTCCTTCATTTGGGCAAGAATTCTTTTAAACATCCCTCTGACCCTCAGTGAGGGGAGGCTTCTTGGGAGGAGCGGGGCCTGCTCTTTCAAGCAGAAGGCAGCCCACATAATCACTGCAGGACAAGTGTTTCCACTGGGAAGTCTCAGCTCCCTGTGGGGAGCCATCAAAGTCACTGGTTCCAAACGCCGCTTTGATCATGTCATCAGCATGCTTGTTGCGTCTTCAAACAGTTGTTTAGTTTTAATGGTTAAAACGGTGTTCAGAGTCAGAAGACCTGGACTCGGATTTCAGCTCTGCGACGTCCAGCCCTCGGGCGAGATCTGTAAGTTGACCTCTTTGGACTTGATTTTTCTAATCTGTAAAATGCGAGAAGAATCGCATTAGAAACTAATTTTATTGTGAGTTAGATGAAGGTTTGTAGAGCGGATTACAGTTGTACATTCCGTAAGTCAGACGCCTGATTCAGCTCATCCACTGCAATCCCCCCAATGCCCCGGCATCACTTCCTCCTCATGGGTTCCTCCATCTGTCCTAACCCTCTGGTCTTTGTCCTCATGGAGATGCTGCCCTTTGGGTCTTAGATGGGAGGGTAAGAGCCATCGTCCTGAAAGGCCACACTGGTCTCTATCCACACAATAAGCCCGGTTTGGTTTATGACTCTGCGTTCTGCTCCGGGGTTTCCTCCCACCCTGCCCAGGGCCGGGGCTCACCTTGTACAGCAGTTGGTGGTCGCAGCTGGGCCCATCCAGTCCTTTCCCCCAGGGATGTGGGCACACATTTGCATCGTTCATGGTCCGTGGTGTCCACGGGTCTTTCTGTGTCCTGTGGAGGGGGATAATTGCATTGTGACGCACGGTCTACGTTTGCAGCCCGTGCTGGCTGAGGCCTCTATGAACCATGGGGGCCACGGGGGCCACGGAAGCAAACTGCCTCGCCTTTCTCTCTTGGAGCCGCTGGTGGGTTCAAACGGTTGCCATTCAGGCTTGACATATAGATGAGGGAGTTTAAAAAAGTTGATGGGCAAAAAAAAAAAAACAGTGGATGGGAAAATTCCATTCTCTCTTAATTCCATTTTTACAAATGCTTTGAATTCCCTTGTTTATATAAGGCATATATATATATATGATACACAAATATATAAACATGCATTGATATCCCACATTGTGACCAGCAAACAGCCCTGGGGCACAGTGGCATAGGGGGGCGCCTCATCGTGAAGTCAGCAGCCTCGCGTGAGAAAGAGGATGAAGCGCTCTGCCCCGTACAGATTCCCAGCCTCCGAAACCCTAAGGAGCAGGTCTACCTACCCCATGGGCCTTCTCTGCGTCAGGACCGACTAGGCCACAGTGGGCTTGGCTGGTTTGTGGCAGGCCCTGGGACATTGCAATAATGATGGCATTTGAGCTGAGTCCTGACAGTAGAGTCGGAATGACCTTCGTGAAGAGGCGAAGGTGGTTCGAGGAAGGAAGAACGTATAGAGGCCTCGAGGTGAGAATGTGCTTGGATATTTTTTTAAATAGTGGGGGTGGGGAAACCGTGATGAGCGAGCAGGTTGGAGCCTCGTCTCCTGTAGTGAACTAGAAGGTGTTCAGGACAGACCGTGGACGCGGATGTGACCCCAAGAGAGCAAAGCCCCCCTGCAGGGCTTGGTCCCCACATCGAGAGACCTTCCAGAGGCAGGCAAGCCAGCTTCAGGGGAGAAAGGAAGGCAGGTGTGTCGCCACGATGTCCTAAAAAAAAGAAAAGACGCAGCTCAGGTCCTTGTGTGTCCTTGACCCACAGTGAGCAGTGGGTGAACAGTTGTGTGCATGGTGTAGAGCAAGCAGGCTCTCAGTAGCTAAAATTCTGCTTACTAGGGCTGGTTTGACCTTGAGTTTGCACAGTAAGGCTAGCACATAGAGGCCACCTTTGGCTGATTATGTGTCACTTCTCTGGCCTTGTCTTTCCTCTCCCTCGCCCCACGTCCCACACTGTCAGCACTGCACGCACAGTTCCCTCGGTTCACTCACTCCTTCAGTCAACCATTCTGAGCTCTTGGTGTGCATCCAGCACCATGCAAGGGGACGGGTCAGTAACCAAAACAGACACCAAGCCCTCCCCTCTGGGCTTTACGGCTGGAGAGAGGAGTAGGGCAGACATAGACATAAGAACTGTAGCTTTTCTATGGTATCAGGGGACCAGCGCCCTGGAAAGGAGACTAAGCACAGCAACTGCGTAATGGATTCGAGGGACCAGGGGCAAGAGGTAGACTTCAGAGGTCAGTGGTGGCCTTGTTGGTCGATTTGAACAGAGATGGAACTTTCTTCTAGGCGGAGAGGGAAGAGCAGGTGTCAAGGCCTGACTTAATGCACAACCGGTCCATTTGGAACAGCCCCGAGGTCCGCGGGGCTGGAGAGGGTAGCAAGGGGAGCTCGTGGCAGGTGCGGACACGTAGCGGTGCCAGGTCAGGGGCGGAGGCAGCACTGTGGGGTGTTGCATTCATCATCAAGGCTCTGGCTTTCCCTCCAAGCGGAGCCACTGGAGGGTTTTGAGCAGCACCGTGACTGGGTCGGATTTCTCTTCAACAGGATCACTGGGGATCTCTACAGAGAGGAGATTCTCCGGGATGG